TGTGGGCTGCGTTCAACCCCGTCCATCGTGTTGGTGTGCCTTTTCTTGAAAGCCATTTTCGTTACATACGTATTACTTTGGACTTTCTTTATACTGAGGTCTGCACAAACCAAGCAGTTGGTCAAGAGTAATTGCTCTTTGAGGACCTCTGCCGGTAGCAGTTTCGCTCGATTTCTGTTCGGTCTGCTCTTTTGGGTATTCACCTACGTATTCCTCAATATGAAGACGGTGGTCTGTGCTGCGGGTATCGGTGCGTGGTACTTCCCAGGTGGTGATGGAGAGCCGACCATACCTGCAATGAGGGGTCTCCAATGGGCCTTCACATCGAGCTCGGGAGCTGTCATGTTCGCCGCTACTATCGTGGGTGTTACTCGGTTCATACTCAACCGTATCGGTAACGCATGTCACTGCCTTCCCTGGTTCCTGACTCCCCTTGGATGCCTGTGGAAATGCTTTACTTGCTGTTGTTTGAGTATTCTTGAAGCTTTTTCCAAGTTCATGATAATTGGACAAGTTTTTGCTGGTGGCAGTTTTTGTGCTGCCGGTCGAAAGTCGTTTAATCTTATCAAAGGTCGTCTGGGTGGCGCCTTCATCACTGACGGAGTTGGTCATACCGTGGTGACCGCTGCGACCTATCTTTTCTCATTTACACTTGGAGTGGCAACTTGGCTATGGCTAGATGCATCTCAGCAATACCAGACGTTATCTGAGCTCAACAGCTTCCTTTTGATACCAATACTCCTACTCTTCGCGGCGTTGATCTCTACGCCTATTTTCACCATCGTTATGGTCACCTGGTTGTCGCCGTTGCTCCACAGTTGGACATGCGGTGAGGATGGGTGTGATTCGACGAGTCAGGCTAATGCTCAGAGGGCGATCAACTCTGTCACTGGTGCCTCATTTGTAGGGTCTGTCTGTTTCGCATTCTTCCACTTCTTGGCCGATGTCGTATTATGTTCCATTGACACAGTGTTCTTTTGTATTGCTGTTGAGGCCGACGCTCGATTATATCAAAGTAGATTAGAGGGTCCGATCTATTCAAAGCTCAAGGAGAGTTTAGATATGGATATCCCTTCAAATAGTAGCCTGGCCCCTCCACACTGTCAGTCAACTCCGCGTACGTCTTGCGAAGGCTCGAATCCTGCCATCCCGGAGTCGCTTGGTTTCAAGGAACCTATTGAGGCGTCAGTGCTTTCCAACCAGGCCTTGTGTGGCTACACTGCAGTGGTTCCTGCTCACATTGACAGGGACCATCGGCCTTAAAATTATCTGATTTGTTTGAAGCGTACTGTCTACTAGTCAATGACATTTTGTATGAAGAGCCCAGGCTGGAGAGTCTAGCTTGTGTCACAACGGTTGATTCTAACTCCAGAGTTGCCGAACTATATAATGGCCAGGTTTGGTCTATTTCGATGTTTCATGATTTCTTCCTCGTCAGTTTGTGCGAGCACAGATATCAATGAGAGTGACGCAGTCAATGTGCGTTCATCTTGGCGCTACGCCTGATGGTGTTGAGTTGATTTAGCCGACAGTCTATGGGGCTTTAGGACCAATGTGGGAGCCCCTCTGACTCGAGAGTGTTGGGTTGGAGAACCGAAGTATCATTCGACGAAGGTTAGAATCCAAAGTGTGCCTGAGATTGCCAATCAGTCAACGTTGCCTCTAGTCTTAGACTAGTAGTCTTATTCTCTAATTGGAACGGTTGTATACGTATCTTACTCGCATGCGTGTGTGTACGCACGTGCAGGTCTTGCATACTCTCCCGTTACCGAGGTGATTTCTTTGGCATAACGCCTCATGAGGAAGCTGCCGTATATCCTGCTGGTTACGGTGGTTGGAGCATTCCGGTTGTCTCTAGTAACGTGGAACACTATGCAGTACGATGATGCGTGGGTGCTGTGTATGGCGGAACCAAAACCTCAGGGAAAGACGTTATACGCAGATACAATGCACAGTGGGGAACTCCATCTGAAATCGAGCTGGCATCAGAGTTGGCTGAAAGCCGGGGTATTCCGCTCAATGAGGCCCGCGATGTAGCTCTGACGTTACTATGTCTCAGCAGAAACGGTACTTCGCAGATCCTTTCGAGTTGGAGATTCGAGCGTGAAGCTGAACGTATTCGGCAGTGGCAGAATGATGAGGATGTTATTGCTCTACAGGAAGTAGAGTTCACTCACGATAATGCAGTTCGTCTTATAGACAAGTATGCAATGCTCAGAAGACAACCTGGTCTCAACTCTCACGGTTGGTGTAGGGTAGAGCTGGCAACTCCTGAGTGGCAAGCGGCATGCCCGTTACCAGCAACAAATGCTACATCGCTCTTCGCGACACCCCTAATGCTGCGGCGAAGACGTTTCATTTCTATCGCACCTTTGAGTTTTGGTACCAAGGACATACCTGGATGCATCGCTCTGGCTGTGTCTCGTGAAGGTAAGTGACAATGTATTGGTGGAGCACTGAATCAATAATCGTTTTAGGTCAAAAGTTTGTATTCGGGAGCATGCACGCTGAGTCGGGAGCGATTAGATCCGACGCGGGTACAACAGTGGGAGCACTACTGGACCATCTTGATGATGTGATCGGCAGCCACGCGAGAGAATCTTTCATCGCTCTGGGTGGTGATTGGAATGCTCACGTGTGAGGAGGTTACCTGGTGTGGTAGTCGAGGTTGCCTACGGCGGCAGATACGACCTGCTGCCTATATTCCAGTCCCGGTCGCGTGACTGGCGTGTCTACTCTGCCGGGAAGAATGATACCATAACACCGTTGTCGTTGCCGAGGTTCACCACCCAACATGAACATAATTGGCTTGCTGCTTACGATGCATGGTTCGTTCGAGAAGCCCCTAATTCAGCGTAGGTTTACCATTCTGAAGGGCCTCGCGCTCCAACGTGGTCGTGACCATGGTCTTTCCAGGTCTCGTTATCACGCGTTGGCTGTGGAACTTCGTGACGGGTTTTTACCCAAGAACTTGTATCGTGGGAAGGATGGTCTGTATGGAGTTAGTCCTTTCTATTTTGATGGCTGTCGATACGGTATGACGCAGATCTGTGAGTCTCGTGATCGAGAACTATGGCTGTAT